CTTTCCGCCAGCGACGTCCATTCACACTTTGATGCACCATTCCAGGAATTGCATTTTCTCGAGTTGCACAATCTGTCTTCCTATGAAGCGTCTTCTTTGGCTGGCTTTGGTGGGCGAACAGCACATCACTGGGGACCCCTCGTTGAGAAGCCGAGGTACAACACGCCGTCGACCCTTGCGGAGCTTTTCGCGATACTCTAGCTTGATCCTAGTTGTGTAGACCGCATTGTACTCGTAACTGAGTCCAGATTGTGTAGCGCCGCACCCCTATAACCTTGAATGGAGAAACGGGCCGACTCGGGTCAAGGCGGTTGGGTGCAACGAGAAAACTGCCGACATGCGTGAAACGATGTCGATTCTCCACAGAGCAGGGCAGCCGGACAGGTTGACAGGTGGGTGGATGGATGTATATATACCAGTACCTATAAGCCAAGGTGATCGTATGACCGGATTTAGCCTGTGTCTCGCACCGTTTAATACTTGCTAGGTACTCGGCCAACTCAGCCATCGACGGGCCGCCATCGTACTCGGTTGATCGTTCAACACCGGTGGCTCATCACTCGGTGGGTACATTGCTCGCACTGGCCTTTCCCCTCCTTACATCATGGCCTCATCGTGCTTGGATCGCCACCCGCGGTTAAGGTGACGATGGCCCGCTATTACTCCCCACAACTACCAAATTTTTTCTAAAAGGGGGGGACTCATTCACCGAAACCTCGACCTGCTCACCACCTTCTCATCGACATCTTGTGAAGGGTTACGGCACAAGCAATCATGCATTCCGCCCCTACAGCGTCGCCGGGTGGTGACTGGTCTGCCACCGAGGTCAGCTCCGAGAAGCACGGCAGGCCCGAGAACGACGTCGGGGCCGGCGAGTTGGAAGTGGGTCGTGCGCCTCTCCCGAAGGGCGTCGAGATGGCAAAGCCGTTGGCCAAGGACAGCGAAGCCGCTGCCACGGCCGCGGCCGCTGACGCCGACACGAGCGACGTGGAGGTCGGCACCAACCAGACGGACTCGATGCGAGACTCGAAGAGCAAGCGGGCGAAGTGGCTGAGGTTCTACCGGAAGTTCAAGCTTCCAATCCACGTCTTCGTGTGGATGCTGTTCACGGCGTAAGTTTTTATCTGTTGAGATCCGCATGCTCAGATGCCTTGGGACAGGCATCGGTTGACCAATGCGAACAGATGGTGGATTGTCGGCCTCGTCTTCCAACGCGACAGGCTCGGCTGGCTGAAGCCATTCCTGGTTTACCTCGCCATCACCATCCGGATCGTCACCCTCTGGCTCCCCGCCTCCGCCGTCATGGTGCCCTTGCGCTTCGTCTGGATGCACACCGTCGCCAGGGTCTACGACCTGACGCCCAAGAAGCTGCACCAGCCTCTCGCTGCGCTTCTCACCATCGGCGTCTTCTTGGTTGGGTCCATGATCCCCGAAGAGGTAGGAGAAAACACCCGCGCCAGCCGGGCCATCTCCCTCTTCGGTCTGCTACTTATGATCGGTCTCCTCACTCTCACGTCCCGCGACTGGAGGAAGATCCCTTGGCACACTGTCATCGGAGGCATGTTGACCCAGTTCATCATTGCCGTGTTCGTCCTCAAGACGAGCGTCGGCTATGACATCTTCGCCTTCATCTCCGAGATGGCTCGTACGCTCCTGGGATTCGCCAAGGACGGACTCGAGTTCTTGACCGACTCGGAAGTCCCCACCCGAACGTGGTTCATCATCTCCGTCATCCCGGCCATCATCTTCTTCATCTCGCTGGTCCAGCTCCTGTATCACTGCGGGTTGCTGCAGTGGTTCATCAAGAAGTTCGCCGTCTTCTTCTTCTGGTCCCTCCGCGTCTCGGGCGCGGAAGCGGTGGTGGCCACGGCAACCCCGTTCATCGGACAGGGCGAGTCGGCGATGCTGATCAAGCCCTACGTGCCGTATCTCACCCTCTCCGAGATCCACCAGGTCATGACCTGTGGCTTTGCCACGATTGCGGGGTCTGTGCTGGTGGGTTATATTGGCCTCGGCCTCGACGCGCAAGTTCTCGTCTCGTCGTGCGTCATGTCGATCCCGGCCAGTATTGCGGTCTCGAAGCTTCGTTACCCCGAAACCGAGGAGAGTCTCACAAAGGGTAGCATCACGGTCCCCGATGACGAGGAGAAGGCTGCAAACGCCATCCATGCCTTTGCCAACGGAGCCTGGTTCGGTCTCAAGGTGGCCGGCATGATCGTGGCCACTCTCCTTTGCATCATCTCGTTTGTCGCCCTCATCAACGGCATCCTGGGATGGTTCGGCAAGTTTTTGGGCATCGACAATCCTCCGTTGACGCTCCAGCTCATCTTGGGCTACGTCTTCTACCCGGTTGCATGGTGTCTTGGGGTCCCGAAGCAGGACTTGCTCGTTGTGGGAGAGCTCATTGGCATCAAGATCATCACGAACGAGTTTGTCGCCTTCAGCTCGCTTTCGAGCAACGTTGAGCCCTATATTTCCATGTCTCCTCGATCCAAGCTTATTGCCACGTACGCTTGCTGTGTAAGTAGCCATTCTGGGACTCGTTATGGAAGCATTGCTAATTGTGCGTACCTAGGGCTTCGGCAATATCGGATCTCTCGGCACGCAGATCGGCGTCCTCTCACAGATCGCCCCGGGCCGTGCCGGTGATGTCTCCCGCGTTGCACTGTCAGCCCTGTTTGCCGGCGTTCTATCGACCCTAACATCTGCTAGCGTTGCTGGTATGCTGTACACTGGCTAGCTCCGGAGTAAAGACAGCAACCGACTATCAATAGACAGACAGATACACGTGAAAAAGTCCCTAGGACACTAGTGTAGACCTTTTTTTGACGTGATACGCATCACTGAAGACAAGATCTTAACGGATCACACCCGTTCTAAAGGGGGCGCGACTCTTCAAACTTGTCATTTCTCCGCTTTCATGAAGACGCAGATGCGTCGCCTATGAGATTGGCCAAGCCGGTTCGGCCTCGCTCAATTGAGACCAAGGCGGACGGGTAAGCACGGAAAGCACAGAAGCTGCTGATGTATGTGTCTTGGCTATGCACACAGCCCGGCTGGTGTCTTGGAGCACGGTAATCTCTTTGGCTCTAAATGAGTGACTAGCGGTAAGGCTTCCTCACGCGACAATTATGACGGCGATGGTAGAGCCCTGTTTGCCTTACATGGCGGGGAATTTGATCTTCTAGCCGATGCCCGGCGTTGCAGCCGAGACCAGGCTCATTTTCAAGATTTCCAGAGTTCTTTGCGCGGCAACGCAACCATGGCCGAGGCTGATTCCGCCCAGCAGTGGGTGTTCCGGTTAAAACAGCCCATGGTGTGAACTGCAAGTCATGTCCGGCGGTAAGCAAAAAGGGAGTCCTATAGCCGAGAGACATCTCGAGGTCTACTTGACTTATGCTGCTGTCGTTTTTGTCTTTGAAAAGAGACCATCCCGTAACCCATACCCCATACAGGCCATACCCCCCTGATTAGATTTTTGCCCAACTTTAGGTTCGTCTTTTCACGCAATAAACCCTAGAGAGCACAGATGGCGCCAAAGACAGTTTGGTACTTCAATGGGTCAGAGCGTCCTGTCAGATTATTGAGTTCTTACGGTAGAAGAAGCGGGCTAGCATGGTTCCGTCAAGAATGTGAACCTCTTACGTGAAATTTACCACATTGCTTCCGTCCATTACCCCATCGCTTCCCTTTCCCCAACTGTGCGCTCGTCGATAAGCCTCGAAAGAGCCACAAAATCTCTGGAGAAACGTCTGGGCATGCACGTGGTAATATCGTCGTGCATTTGTACTGCCATGTGTAAGCTTTCTCTGGGGTCATGTTGGGCTGTCATTCTTTTTCTTCAAGAGAGGGGGGAGAAATCTGGGGGGCGAGGCCGGGGAAGAGGTCCACCACCCATCAACCTGTTCGAACGAACACACCTGACTACCGGTAACTCTAAGTTAACCTACTTAGGAGAGAGCTCAATTATGAGAGTGACGGAGGGATTATGAGTAGACTACATGGTATGAGGCGAAAGCGGCGATGGAAACGCTAGAAAACGCATGGAAGGGCATCAAACCAGCGGCAGGCCGGGAGCTGGGCGAGGTGCATTAACGGGGGGCTAGCAGCAGGCACTAGACGTCCCAATGTGCATCGAGAACCGCGGGCCGCCGCCGTGGCTAGCTGGAAATGTGGTGACAGGGGATACCGTGGGCAGGACGAGTCCAGATGTTGCTCCAGACATGCAGTGAAGGTTGATTCCACTGCGGCGACAGCGTTACTCCAGCGCGGGTCGAGCAAGGTACACACATTTGGGCGAAGAATTGCGAGAGAACACCAACTGGCGTCGAGAAGCGCCCGAACCCAAACTTTGAGGTTCAGTGCTCAGCACTCCGTACAAGAACACGTATAATTCGTCGGGTTCGGGTATGCAAGAATGAAATGCTGCCTTGGTTGATAAAATACCGCATCTAGGGGCTCTTGGCAAACAGTGATTCGGCAAGATATTGGACGCCCGCAACACCACGCCAGGGCCACCGTACCGCATCCATCCAAAGGCATGTAGGGCTGGGCCGGCCGGGCGGTATCGTGACGGAAGGGAATTCGTCACGAGTTGATCAAACGGGCACTGACCGTTGACCGCTCACCAGTGCGGTTCAGGTGTATCCTTGCGTCGAACCCACCCAAGATCCCACAACTTGAGGGGTTGCTCTGACGGCAGAAATTGACAGAACATGCTTCGGGAATTAAAGCTGGGTCCCTTGAAATAAAGATGAATAAGATTCGACTCGGCCACTCTCTCTGTTAGTTTCGCGAGCCCCGGACAGGGACAGGTATCACAACTTGGAAACGGTGCTCAGGGTGAATAAGAAGGGAGATATAGGGCATAAAAGATACAAGGACGCAGTCGGCTTATCCGTTCGAGGTGGTCGGCGTGGAGGAATGGGGATTAGAGCGAAAGAGACAGAGAAGAGAGTGTGAGATCAAGGCGAACTGGTTAGCCAGAATCAGAGGCTGTGCTACTAGAAAGGCCATTCGCGCGATATGCGCGCGGGAGGTCTATTAAGCTTGCTCGCAACTGGATGATATGATCCCCCCTCGGTACTGGTTCCGGCGCTGTGTCGTGACTCGTGGTCAAAGTTCAGGGTCGAACCCGCCTCGGGTCCACCGCTGCAGTGCATCACCAGCTTGCACCAAAGGAAGGGCTGACAGTCTTTCAGCTACCTATCCGTGATCTAATTTGCTTTCATCAGCTGCCTAGGGGGTGGGACGCCTGGCCCGAATGTTGAGAGTTGCACCAAGTCTGGAGACGCTGGAATGTTGGAGAGAAGGGCTTCCGACTATTTAGGAATAGCTCCCGTGCGCCAGGGCCGTGTTTTCGCGCCGCCAGGTATCTTTACTCGCTTCACAGGCTGCCGGATTGTTCTCACCGGCGGGCGGGCGCGGGAACATTCCAAGGCTTCGGGCGTTGGGCGAGAAGAGACAGAGTACGAGGTACGGAGTACTCGAACCGTCCCAAGCCATCTGAAGTGGCCCCTCCATCAGTGGACTAGGCCAGGGGCGGTCAAGGGCGAGGATAAGCTCGGCCAAATCCATGTCGTTCTCTATGGGAACGGGGGGGCATTGTGGAGGAGATAAGGGCCTGCTTATTTGGGTCAGAGATAAACGTCTTGGCGGGGAGTGAGATACCGGCTCTGAATGGCTGTATGGCCGGAACGAAGCATGAGATGGAGAAAGCGGCCAGGGGGTGGTGAGGGGGGAACAGAGTGCAGTAGCAGGGAAGATGGTGGTGGCGGGAGAGAGGCGAAGATGCAACATGTTTCTAGAACGTATGATGGAGAAAGCAGACTGGCCTTGGGGCGCCATATTATCAATAAGCGTTAGTGTCAGCTTCGCGATTAGACTTAATTTCGGCCCCGGACACCTAACAGAATCACATAACCAATACGTACAATGCCTGGGCTTGCCGTATGGGTTGCATCGCGCCATGCCATGCCGTATGTTTAGGCGTGTCCGACGTCTCTGCGGAAGACGCAAGGCAGAAAGAGCTGAGCAGACGCGCCCAGGGCATTCTTCGGTGAGACACACTCTCGGGAGGGAGGGAGAGGGAGATGGATGGATGCTGGGAGCCCTGCCAGTATGAGGCGTTCTGCCCGCGGCTTTGGTCGGCTATGTGGGACGGACGGGAGCGAACAACAGATGGCGAATCTTGGACGTTTGCCAGTCTTGTCAATGGGGTGGCGTCCTCACGCTCAGGTTAGATGTAGCAGCCATCACCCGTCGGGAAGCCTTGGCCTGATCACCGAGTTGAGTGGCCTTGTCTGAGCTGGTCTAGTCTGTCTGACTTGGCCTGGTTCGGTGCAGCGAGCTGCCAATGTCAAATATCATCATCCATTTCCCCCAATCTGCAGGCCGACGATTTCACTGGCAGATACGGACATCCCGATGTCTAGTCAATCAGTCGCCGGGTTGTCTCGAGGATGGTGTTCTTGGCCTGATCCGCCATGGCCAACTTCGCCAACAGGCTCTCCCAGCATCCAGCCAAAGGGTTAATTCGGCGAGCGAAGAGCCTATCTGCGCACAAGCCCTCGCGCCGTGATTGGCGAGAGGTCTGAACAGTGGCTTGAGGGTGGCCCCGCAGACTGCCCGATCGAATGCGCCCCTCGCGTGCGTTCTGCCTCTACCACGTAGCCTTCTTCGAGTTGGCTCGAAGGGAGAAAGGGGGACAAACCCCACGCTGCATGGCGAAGTGAGACGGGGGAGGTCGACGTCCTCAAAACGTCCCGTTTCTGTCACTCTTCTCACGTTTGCGCCAGGCTGACCGAATGTCCCGTGTCTTACCAGCGCAAGATGATGCCAGTAGGCTGGCATTTGGCTGTTGGTTGGCTCATCTCTCTAAAGAGGGGTTTTCAACCTATTTCTTTCTTTTTTTTTTCTTCCCCCAAGAAAGTATGAATAGGAGGGCAAAGGTCAACCTTGGCTAGTCGCCCCAGAGATAAGCATCGCATGGTCCAGAGAGCCCCTGTCACGCAACATGCAATATTCCCGTGTGCTACCATGAAAATTTCCATCACCGAATCTCTTCGCCTGCTGCGCTGGAGGGTGCCACCTTGTCTCCGGGCCAGTAGAAGGAAGTCTGGCAGGCTCTGGAATCCCGCGCTGCTATCCATTGTCTTGGTGTTTTCTTGGTAATACCACCCATCATGTCCGCCTTGAGCAAGGGCCGTGTCGTCTCGTCTTGTCAGGTACCTCGGGGCTTGACCTATGTGCTTGTCACATCTATCTAAGCTTTTTCCAACTGCCCACGACAGTGCGCAGATGAGGGCCTTGAAGAGACTGGGCCGCTGGGCGTGTCTGGGCAGATTGTTTCCAACTTCCGTGGGGGGGGGGGGGGCGGGGGGGAGAACCCCAAGTCCACGACTCGCGGGCACGAGTCGACGATACTTGGCGTTAATGAGTGACTTTGGTCGCCAAGTATCTTCTTTGCCCTCTCCCCTCATCGCCTTGATCTGATCCCAGCGCGTTCCCCCCTCTCAGAGTAAGAACTCTAGTTTCTCATGATGATATCCGCCAAGGCTGAACCAGCGCTGGATGCACAGCCTCCTCTCGTTGCAGTGTCCAATAATACCGCGAGGCATCACAGACGGACAAACTGCACCGTTTTGTTACTTTTCCTCTCCTTGCGATACGGTCTGCTGCGGGCGAACCCTTGCCACATTCTCCCCCATTCGTCCCATACTGGTCTCTGTCTTTCAGCCCCGGCAGACACGCCATTCCGTCCCTCCCCCCCCCCCCCCTCCGATAGGTCACCCCAATCCCCTCACTCAACCTTACGCAGTATGAGATCGCCTCCTTCAGCCAGTGCTAACCCTGTCAACTGGCGCTAACGTCCGCGCCCGGTGCCCTGTCTCTACTATGTATTCCTCTCACTCTCCGCAGTATTGCACGTTCGCGGCACAGAAACCTTGGATGCGGTTCGGACTGGTCTCCGTAGCCTCCGTAGATTGGCCCGTTGAGGACTTGCATGCCTGGGTGCTGAGTCGCCGACACAAGAGAGATGCTGAGAGATTACGCGTGTAATTTCTACAGCTAACACACGTCGCTGTCTTCGTCCGTCGCTTTCCAGGCAAACCACCCGGTGACGCCCACAGGGATCACCCTCGCCCGGCCTACTATAAGTGTCTTGGCGTATGCCGCCTGTCTGAGGTCCCCCAGTCTGCCTGCAGGGCTCCACCAAAAGAATAGGACCCCCATGCAAGCTACAAGCTAGGCCAGGTCCAGCCCACGAACCTGTGAGGGAGAGAGAGTGAGTGAGAGAGAGAGAGAGAGAGAGAGAGAGAGAGAGAGAGAGAGAGAGAGAGAGAGAGAGAGAGAGAGAGAGAGACATGGGGGTGGGATGTGTGAGCGACATAGAGCTTGGGCTGACAGTTGAACTAACGGGCATGCAAGCTGTAATCACGTATGACAGCCCGTCGCTGCTCCGGTCTCACATGCGGCGCCGAAATTTCTTGATTAAAGAACGTCTTACCCCCCTCCTCCTCCTCCTCTCGCCAGACGTGATCCCTCTTCTTCCCTCTCCATCCCTCTCGCTCCTAGAGCCGTCTCTCCTGTGAAGCACGCGACTCCTCTCCTGCTTCCCAACCCAGATTCCTTGCATACCGTGTACGACACCCCCCTCCTCGTCACGCGCAAGTAGCCATGAGCGAAGGCCTCGTCAAGAGGACGTCCTCCTCGGAGGGCGCCCACGATGTCGAGAAGACGGGCTACCAGACCCAGACCTACGATACCGACAATGTCCACATCCGCGGTATGGAGACCAGCGAGGAGACGTCGCTGCATCGCGGTCTCAAGGCCCGCCACATCACCATGATTGCCATCGGCGGCGCCATCGGTACCGGTCTCATCATCGGAACCGGCAAGGCCCTCGCCCAGGCCGGCCCCGGCTCCGTCTTCATCTCGTACACTCTCATCGGTTTCATCGTCTTCCTCGTCATGGCTGGTCTCGGTGAGATGGCTGCCTGGCTTCCCATCTCCTCCGGATTCACCGGTTACGCCTCGAGATTCTGCGATCCCTCGCTCGGCTTCGCCCTCGGCTGGACGTAAGTAGTCCCAATAATCCCCCCCTTCGGAAACACTGCCTGCCTGCCTGCCTGCCTGCCTGCCTGCCTGCCTGCCTGCCTTTCCCCCGCACATGCGCTGACCCGGCCGTCTGCCTCACAGTTATTGGTTCAAGTACATCATCGTCACGCCCAACCAGCTTACAGCCGCCGCCCTCGTCATCCAGTACTGGGTCCCGCGCGAGACCGTGAACCCGGGTGTCTTCATCGCCATCTTCCTGGTCGTCATCGTCGCCATCAACTACTTCGGTATCAAGTTCTTTGGCGAGTTCGAGTTCTGGCTTTCCAGCTTCAAGGTCATCACCATCATCGGCGTCATCCTCTTCTCCCTCATCCTGGCCCTGGGCGGTGGCCCCGACCATGACCGCAAAGGCTTCCGCTACTGGCAGAACCCTGGGTATGTCTTCCAAGTGCACCCGCATCACCAGATAGTTGTGCCCGCTGACTAACATTGTCTCAAGTGCCTTCAGGGAGTACATCGACACCGGCGCAACCGGTCGCTTCCTTGGTTTCTGGTCTTGCATGGTCAACGCCACGTTCGCCTACCTGGGAACCGAGCTCGTCGGTGTGACCGTTGCCGAGGCCCAGAACCCCCGCAAGACCGTCCCCCGTGCCATCAGGCTGACATTCTACCGCATCTTGTTCTTCTATTGCTTCAGTGTTCTCCTCGTCGGCATGCTCGTCCCCTTCAACTCCCCTGACCTCGCCTTCGCCACCAAGGCCCAGGCAGGCGCCTCCGCTTCGCCTTTCGTCGTCGCTGCCAAGCTCGCTGGTGTCCAGGCTATTCCCGACATCATCAACGCCTGCATCTGCATCTTCGTCTTCTCTGCATCCAACTCGGACTTGTACATCGCCAGTCGTACCCTCTACGGCCTGGCCTCTGACGGCTCTGCCCCCGCCATCTTCAAGCGCACCGACAAGCGTGGTGTTCCCATCTACGCCCTTGGCTTCTCTGCCCTCTTCGCCCTACTGGCCTTCATGAACGTTTCCAACGACTCCAAGGCAGTTTTCACCTACTTCGTCAACCTTACCACCATTTTTGGTCTGCTGACCTGGATCTCGATCCTCGTCACCCACATCTGGTGGTGCAGAGCTCGCAAGGCCCAGAACATTCCCAACGAGGTCCTCCCCTACGTCGCTCCCTTCGGCATCTGGGGATCCTACGGCGCCCTGGCCCTCTGCATCATCGTCGCGCTCACCAAGAACTTTGACGTCTTCACCGGCGGCAACTTCGGCAAGGAGAAGTACAAGACCTTCATCACTGGTTACCTCGGTATCCCTCTTTATCTCATCCTCATCTTCGGCCACAAGCTCTACCACAAGACTCGTGGCGTCAAGCCCCACGAGGCCGACTTCTACACCGGCAAGGACATCATCGACCGCGAGGAGGAGGAATTCCTGGCTCAGCAGGCTGCCGAGAAGGAGGCCAGAGGTGGCAAGCAAGGCAAGCTCGGATGGTTCTACAACACCTTCCTGTCCTGGCTGTTCTGAGCGGAAACAAGACTGTGTAATGCTAGAAGGGGTGGGAGGGAACTGTTGTCGTTTCATGAATATCATGTCCTGCGAATATACCACGGCGTGTTGGGTCCGCCTAGTCGTTAGATATCCCAATATAAACCAAAGATATTGTCTCACGTTGTCACCCGTTCAGATGAACTGATGGTTTTCAAGCCAGCAACTCCTTGGGTGTGTGTGTGTGTGGTGGGCTAGCGTGAGCTTCGGAAAATCACGGCTTTGTCAAGGCAACTCGGAACTTGGCCGGGGTGGGGGTTAAAGAGCTACACGCAATGACTCACACATGGACAATATGAGCCCAAATCAGGGCAAATATTGTATATCCCCACAGGCCATCTGAAGCACAATAGCTCAGGGGTAGAGCGCTGGGCTCATAACCCAGAGGTCCCTGGATCGAAACCAGGTTGTGCTAGTTATACTTTTCCTTTTTGCATTTCCGCCTTGCCCAACACTTTTCAGATTGGGCTTAGGTCTCAAGTCTTGGATTGTTGCTCCCATTCCTTGATTGAATATGTTGACCAGCATTAGCCGAGGTATTTGAACTTGGATAGGAGATGTAAAAAATGCCGCTTTGTTTTTTGCCAATCGTGGTCCCTTTAATGCAAGCTTACTTAAACTCTCCTCATAACTGGTAGGAATTTAAAAGTATGTAGTTTGAAAGTCTTTTAAACAAGAAGAATGTGCAAATGTGTTATGGCAACACCCAAGGCTGTCTCATGATAGGCACAAAACCCCAATATCATTTCAATGCCCAGCCACGTCCCCAATCTCAAAGTTGGGCGTGATGTATGGACGAACCCTTGACCTAGTAAGGGTCCTCTGCTCATACGCGTACGCCAGCCCGATAAGTTTAGCCTCCTGGAACTTTGCACCAAGAAAGCTGATGCCGAATCTGCAGGTTGTCAGTCAAAGTATTTGAGAGCGCCTTCTGGGAGCCTATGTCATGATGACCAGCAATGATGAATCACTTACGGCACATGGGGACCGGTGTCTACCAAGTTCCCCCTCCTGTTCTTGATCACAGTCGCATTCGCGGGGTAGAATCCCAACGGGACCGTCACGACAGGCGCCCCAACGATTGCGGCCCACGTGCTCGAGAAGCTGGTCGGCAAGATGACGGCGTCAAGGTCGTGCCGCTCCAGCGTTCCAAACAGTCCGCCTTCGCCGCCAAGGAACTGGCTCTCTTGCCACGCGGCCCAAAAACGGGGATCGGTGTTGTTGAAACCCTGCTCGTCAAGAGCCTCGTCCCACAGGGCCGTGCTGCGATCCGGAAAAGCCTCGAGGCCAAAGGACTGCGTGAACTCACGGACGTCGGCCAGAGATGACAGGTTATTTGGGTTGACGCTCAACTCAGCGAGATAAGATGCCAGGTTCGATATGAAGTCGGCGTTGAGGACGATGGTCTCCGAGTTGGAGGCCACGAGTTTGTCAGCGGCGGTGAAGTTTGCGTTATCGACGATGATGGCGCCGGCTGACCTGAAGACGTCCAGGGCCTCTTCGAAAGCGCGCGTCTCGGTGCCGGTGGTGTTGTCGGAGAACAACTCAATAGCGTTGCGCGGGATGCCGATGCGTGCTCCGCAGAGGGCGTAGGCGTCGCAAGCCGCCGGGTAGTTGGGGATCTCCCCATTGTTCGGAATTGCCGACGTGTAGTTATCCTTGGAGTCCGCGCCGGCGATGGCGTGCAAGAGGTAAGCAGCGTCCTTGACGGTCCGGGCCATTGGCCCGATCGTGTCTTGGTGCTCGCTAATGGGGATGACAAGGTGCCTCGAGGTGAGGCCCACGGTCGGCTTGATGCCGACTAGGTTGTTACGCTGAGCTGGAGAGACGATTGAGCCGTCAGTCTGACGAGTGTCAGCACGAAACAGTCAGCAGTACTGCAAGCTTCGGCACAAACCTCGGTGCCCAACGCGGCAAGAGCAAGACCCAGATCAGAGGCCACGCCACTGCCGCTAGAACTTCCACTCGGATCCTGTTGGGGATAGTAAGCGGCGTATACTTGGCCGCCATAGGCAGACCAGCCGTTGCTGGTGTTGTTGCTCCTGAAATTGGCCCACTGGCTGAGATTTGTCTTGCCAATGATGATGGCACCAGCCTCGCGCAGCTTCTTCGCCATGAAGCTGTCCTGGGGAACTTTGGCACCAACGAGCGCCCAGGACCCTGCAGTGTTGTTCATCCGATCGGCGGTCGCGATGTTGTTCTTGATGAGGATTGGAATCCCATGAAGCGGGCCCTTGATGGACCCTTTGGCCCGCGAAGCGTCCAGATCCGCAGCGATGGAGAGCGCATCGGGGTTCACCTCCGTCACAACATTCAAGGTGCTGTTTACCTGGTTAATGCGGCCGAGATAGGTGTTGACCAGATCGACGCTGGTGAAGAGGCCCTTCTGCAGGCCGTCGGCCAGGTCGTCGACTGTCACGTCCAATAGGCTGGGAAATTGAACACCCTTGACTGGAAACAAAGTTAGCCGATGCGCCAATGACGTACTCAATACGAGTTAAACATACCACTTAAGCAGGTCACTATGTTGGCGACTGCCAGCCAGACGAGGGCCGCAGCGAGAAGCGAACGCCGCATTGTCATGGTGCAGTGAAGAGCAAGAGGTGGAATCGTTGAGGGCTCAATCGACCGAGGGACATCCGAGCACCCGGAAGATACATCCAAACGGGCTCGGATCTAATATAGCTATCGAGGTCCAAGCAAGACCCTGTCCTCCTCTGTCCGTATGCCCAGCTCAATGCAACGCTGCGTCGCTTGGAGGATCCCGCCGCCACGGCCTCGACCAAAGGCAACGCTGATAAGAGATGTCTGGGATCTTGAACCTCTGGGGCGCGTTACGGTAGTATTATGGCGGATGCACCCCAAAAGGGCAGCTCAGTGGGATTAAACCAGCAAAAGAAAAATAGTCATGACGTACAAGGTATGTTGTCTGCTTCTGTTGCCAATGCAAGACAGTACAGGCAAAGACGCACAGCATGCAGGTCTCAATCTCCTGGAACCCAATCGCTTAGCGGTGAATGATGAGATCCAGTTAGCGCAGGACTCCTTCGGTGGCTTTCCAAGACCGTTGGCAAAATATTTACCGGTAGGTATTACTCCCGCACTACCTAGAGACCGACAGATTGAAGGAAAGGTAAGGGGCTTGAAAGCATCAAGAGAAACAAAGTGCGGGGAACAAATGCCGAAGGCGCCGGGGGCCGCGGGAGGAACCCGGCGGGTGGAGACCGGTACGTACCTCCACGGCCGGACAAGCCTCCGCCTTACCTCAGCAGCCGAGGCCGGCTGATATCCGGCATATCATCCTCTGTGGAGAAATAGAAATCCCAGGGAAATCCCGGAGACATCCCGGAGACATCCCGATGATTATGTAAGGGGGGGCTTTGCTCCTTTTGCGCCGGCGTAATCGCTAAGGCTACGTAGGCGAGCCGCTACCCTCTATTCATATTCATATATATACTCGGGTCGATACACTGTTCTCATCATAGACTTTCATCTAGTTCGTGGCCAGGTGGTTGCCCTTGCTGACTTTGCCTGTGTGGCCTTACCCTGACCCGGGCTTGGGCTAATAATTAAAGGCTGGAGAGTTGTGCTACTGAGGCTTACAGCCTAATCCTGTTCCTAAGTGTTCAAAACAATCACTGTAGCAAGCTTAACATGCTGCATCACGAAATCTCATGTAGCTGTTGTCCTTGCTTCACGTTTGATCATCGGCCCACGAGACCCCGGCCGTAATCTGGTGGCATTAATGACATTTGAGCGGACATCTGCGACCTCGATAGAAATTGTGGTCCAAGTACGAGGTGTCCTAATAAGACCTTGTTAGTAACAAATGTTGAGCCTCTAATTACTCAAACACAACTGCATGGCTCCTATGACTAGCCCTTGAACTTTGTCACCACACAACAACAAGCCCAACCCCTCACTTGACCGGCCTACGCAAGCAGCGGCAGACTATCCAGCAGTAGACAGTTTCCGGAGCCGCCATAGGTTGCATTGTTGTACCTGCATTTTTGCCACTGGACCATCCCGTCTTTTGATACGGTGCCCGGTGATTCAGTCTGTTCTTATTATCAGATGCAGCCACCAGTCGCACAGCCAGGCATCTCGGCAGGTCTCCCTCAACCTTGCTTTTCGGCACATCCGCAGCGATGGGAGGCGCACGAAACGTGATCGTCGCTGTAAATACCAGGTACGCGGTTCCCGAGTCCAGGTGCTTGGTAGCTCCTCGCCGAACAACCGAACGGCAAACCTGATCTGCGACTCTATGCATTGACCACCTCCGTAGCACACATCGTCGTTGGTCCCAGCGCGCGTCCGCAGCTGCTGCCGTTTTAGCCATCCAATCTGCCAACGTCCTCTTGCATGAAATCGCCAAAGGCGCCCGATCTTCTCATCCGACAGTGTTGCTGAACCACCGCAGTTCGCTACGATATTATCACAAGTAATGCCGTCTGAAGCGGCCTTGGTCGTTCATTCCATAGCCGTCACGAGAATCGGGGTCGTGCGGCATGGAGAACTTCGGCCTTGGCAGAGATATGTCAGGGCTGAACGTGGACGCTGGCTCTGTCCGACGTTGAAATTGATTGCCCGTGCAAAGTCGAGCCGCGCGCAAGCCCAACTACCATCATACGATGTGCTTGCTGCTATTGTTTCTAATGGGTACAGGGTAGAACTAGTTCCTCGGACCCGGATGACGCATACACTCAAGACTTGTCAGCCATATACCGAGAGGTTGAGTTTTTCTCCTTCTTCTCTGGCCGCAGACAACCAACCATGGACCATGTAGTGCTCCGACATGACTCTACGTAGTAAAACACCTCCGAAATGGGCCTAACGAAAACCTTGCAGACTGCCCTCTGCATTCGAGCTTCACGAGAGAAGGACAGAGTTTACAGAACCTCCGGGGAGGGGTCGATTCGTCGGTTCGGCTACGCAGACCGTGGCAACCATCCCCTTGCTTGGCAACATCGGATTCGGGATTTCATGAGGTAAGCTTAAGATAGGTATACCGCTAGCCGAGTAAGCGGTGAAATCACCTCGATATACATTATCGTGGGGCGCTGAAACACTCCCAGACCGGACGAATTCGGTCTCTCGCCTTATTCTGCGGAGGTCCCTCGATTCTTGCACCATGGGAAGGGAGTCTTCTAGTCAAAGCCTGCCTTTATCCCCACAAGTGACCTTGGATAGATGACGTTACAAGCAAGGGAACGCCTCCATTTCTCAAGAAACTTAGGCAATCCCGTTGCAAGGTAGTGTCCCAAACCACGCCGATCCAGACCCATTTCGTGGATGGCCCGCCCAAGTATGGCCACTCCCAGACGCGAAGCCTAGCATCTGTCGTCGAACAAATATGGATGCCGGTTTCAGACACTTGCTAGTCAGTCTTTTCACGAATGTTAACTGTGGCTCGTCGCCAAGGGACTAATAAGCACTCCTCAATGGTGCCGCGGACGAGGTCCTCAAGGTTTTGATGAGGATATGACATCCCTGGCTGGGACGATGAGCTGGGGTCGTTCAGAAGAAGTATTAAAGAAAGACTCGTCGCCAACTCGAAAAATAGAAGACCAGGCCGGCCCCTCAGTTCCCACGCTGTTCCTTACGACACATGAGCATTAATTGGCATTCCTCTTCTACTGCGCACCAACCGAACCTTGGTCGTATTTCTTTCCTCTCTTTCACCCACGTTCTATTCACTTTCTATTACTGAAACGACTTCACCACTCGCTACGATGAGATTCTCAACGTCAGTTCTTGTCCTTGCCTCGGCCCTCCTAGTCGGCATCAATGGTGCCCCGGCGGGGTCCGACGTGTCGTCTAGAGAATCCGTGTAGGTTCTCTCCGCCCTAGAGACACTCTTGCTGGCAAACTACTGACAGATAACAGTGGGCTTGATCCAAGGGCGGACACACCAAGCATTGATCCTCCAGTCGCTGCAGCCGTTGTTGAACAGCCAAACGCCGCACTAGTCGCCCCAGAGGTTAAGCCTAGACAGCTCGCTAAGCTTGTCGGCAAGCTTCTAGGTGCCGGAGCCGGTGCCAAGAAAAAAAACAAAGCCAAAGCGGCGGCCAATCCGGCAAAGGCGGCTAATCCGGCCAAGGCGGCCACTCCAGCCAAGGCGGCCACTCCGGCAAAGGCTGCCACTCCGGCAAAGGCGGCCAATCCGGCAAAGGCGGCCGGCGGTGCTGGTGCTACTACTCCAAAGACGCCCGCCACTGCCCCCAACGCCGCCGCTGCCAATCCGCAACAAGCAGCGAAGAAGGCCAACTCTGCTGCCGGAGCCGGAGCCGCTGCTGCTGCCGTCGGCGGTGCTGCCGGTGGTGCCGTCAAAGGTAACCTGAACCCTCCAAAGCCCGCCCCCGTCCCAGCCGGAATCAACCCGCCCAAGGCCAAGGACCCTAACACTCCAGCCCCTGCACCCGCAGGAGCTCTCGTGGCTGGTGCTGCCGGGAGAGTCCAAGGCGGTAAGCCGGTTGCGGTAGCCCAAGTTCCCGCTACAAAACCGCAAGCACCAGCCCAAGCACCCGCACTGAAGCCTCAAGCACCGAAACCCGCTGGAGCCGGTGGTGCTTTGCCCCTTGCTGTTCCCGCGAAGATCGTTTTTTGAGCTTTTGTATTGACAATTGCTTTTTCAGCAGGGAATTAAGCCAGCCTTCGCCTTAGAGGCAGCGGACTGTATACGAGAGCTGGGATCGACACATTCTTTCTAACGTGTGCGTTTTGGGTCAGCCTGAAGTACATAATTCAAAACTTTATTTCAGAGGTTGGGTGACGTCTGCGACGCGAAGAATCAACCATGGAATGGGATACATACCAATGGCTTTGGCCCAGCGACGACAAGTTGCCATGTAACTAGGAATTACGGCCGTAAATGATTGGTTCACAAGTCGGATTCCATACCGCCTATGCTTCGTTGCAACAGGGCTGATCCCCATCGGACCACATCCGGTCGCCGACGAGCCTCATTTCTGCACAAAGTCTAATACAACTAAGAAGTGTCGCCATGTGATTGGGTAATTTCAACTCTTGGGGCTTGCCTCTAGGCGTATAAAGTTCGAATTTGACGCAGGCTCGTTCCAGGATCAGTAAAAGTTGCGTGAAGAGATGTCCGCGAAGATCAGGGATACACATTGAAGCTGAAGACAGTCAGTGGGTTAGTCTTTGGGAATGATTGGCAATGGTAGCATTGCAGCACTGGCAGCTTCGTTGATGGGGCTACGACTGGTAATTGAATGGCCATTCCTCGACAAGGATGATGTAAATAGCAGGGTTGTGTCTTCGATGCTCTTCTATCTATTCAGTTCTTTTGTGCAGAAGGTGATCTAAGCCTGGTTAAACCTAATCGGTCTCAAGTAGTATCACACTTGGTGCCTGTTTTGTATCTCTTGAATGAAAGCAGCGACAACAAGTTAATCTCCCAGTGAAGGGGCATTCGCAGGTCATGAATCATATGCTTCTGTAATTTTATTGATATGACATCAGTGAGAGTTCTAGAGATAGGTCGACAATAGCAAGGTGTAACGGAGATGCTGCAATGCCAGCAATTATCCGAAAACTGCACAAGCGAAAAGTAGCAAATTGTATTGCACCCAGATACCATGAGAAATACATGAATCAATACTTCTGTACCATTTATTGATGTGGGAGTGAAAAGGATGGTCCAGCAGCTCGTGACATGATAAGTATTGCTGACTCTTCACGTGTTGGCCTTGAGATGCGTTCCATACCCATCAATAACCTTTGTTTATCTTTGACACCAATACGATTGGATTACACATGCTATTGGAAATAAGCGATCACAGTGGATGCAAGTTATATCTTTTGTTGCAGCTACAAGACATATTTCCTAGAAGGCTAGATAGTTTCAGTGAAGTGGTCACGAGGAGAAAGTCACATGGCCCAGGCTTTTGAGCAATGTAAAGGCAAATTGCGTATTGAATGGATATGGGCTTTACTGTTCTAGACTTGGCAAAGTCAAGTGTATGATAAAGCTTGGCCAGCCAAAAACCGAGTGTTTCCCATAAGAGGGATGCAAATTGGCGTCTGAATGCTTCACAATGAATGCCTCCTGTACTTTGCGCTCCAAAATAACCTCATGCAAATCATGATAGTAAGGTCCCTTTCTGTGATTTTATAACTGAACAAACGAGCCTAAACTCACCCTGCTTTGTCGTCCCAGAGATTGGTACCTGGCGAATTCGGTATTCAGCCCTTGACTGCTTTTACTGGGCGTTGTCGGTTATCAGAGGTCTTTCTTCCTTTGAATACTGAACAAACAAAGTAGAAAATCGAAAAGATCCAAAGAGAAGGGGAGAAGAATCCAGGAAAACTGTGCACTGACAAGGCAACAAAAATTTTATTGCCAGGGAGCACAGATTGGGGTTTACCAGCGTCTCTTGTGAAACCATTATGAGTTGTGGAACACGTAATGCACTGGAGTCTGGAAAATGCGATTCTTTGGGCCTACAAAAGAGGTCAAGTAAGCAATCCTTGGGATTGATAGAGCGTTAGGAAACACCACACCAAACTGGATCTACATGTACATATTTTGCTTAAACTGACTTCTACTCAAGAACTGAATGAGACATGGATTTATGCGTTGGTTCTTCTGAGATGATTTGGCTAGAGTCTGAAGTAAAGTCCGAGGCAATTATTATTAGTCTACATCCTAGGAGATATTTTTCTTCCCTTCAAAGCTGGTAAGCCCGTCGAGGCGAAGTACCCAGGGTCTATTCCCTTACCTCCTTGGTGCTATCGATCTTTGTGGGCTTTCGAAAGAAATGTATCCCTTTTCTAGTCCCTTACTTGTTAAATGAAGTTTACTGGCAGTAATGTCCTTTGCCCAAGACGCTCAAGCACCCCGAAAAGGGTTTTCCTAGTATCGCATGATAAATCTTTAAAAAGTCGCTGTTCACAGACCAGCTAGCTGTATTTACATCAAGTTGTCCAGTTGCTTAGTAGATAACAAGTCTCACTTCATTTCTACTACCCTTTCTTGGGGCATTTCAGACTACAAGTCCTTGCCCTGGATTGAGAACACGAGGGGCGATAATTGACGTCTACATTGTTTTTCTTTCCGCAGAAAAGTCCATCACAATGGTCGCAGGACGCTTACTCCTGGGCATTCTTGTTGGTGTCAACGATTATATCTTCAACGTCCAGTGGTCCCACGACCGAGGCATTCCCTCACAGCATGTGAACTACACCCTTGTCACCCTGATGCTTGGAGACGAAAGAGGTGCAGGCGGCCACGAGCCAATAATTGAGCTTTTGGACGACAACGGATTTAGGGTGGGAACTCGGACTTCAAGAGATCACAACACAATTTCGAAGAACAACAACCTTGATGATCATATAATCAAGATCCAGCACGACAAACACGACAACCCAATGGAAACGCCAAAATATGTGACCTTGTACCAATGGAGCGAAGACGCTGTATGTATCTCAGCTATACAAGTTTCAAACGGAAAGCTCTCTGCTGTCCTCTTTGGCGACGTAGCTGCTCGATGCGGCCAGAGTTGGTTCTTGAGTCGGCGACGACTTGACGCCAAACTACCACATCCTAAGTGCGTCTGGCTAGATGCGGACCACACAGACAGTTTCAACGCGCGGTCTATGAGCTTTCATCTCCCTGACTTCATTGGAACTCCCGACAAGGTGAAGATGTACAGAGAGAACAAAGATTACATGTGCAAAAGCACACCACGTTTGGCGTTCTGGAAGAACCTATGGGAAGGCAGCGAGATACCGATTTTCAAGCCTCCTTTGCAATACACCCCCGATGCAATCACTGGCTTGGAAGGCAGAGACAAGGACCCAAAACAAGCCATCGACAAGGTCAAGTGGGACATGGATGCCGACACGGATCCCGAGCCCATTGGGAAACGATCGTCAACAGCCATCCAACTGGAAGGCAAGAGAAAGAAGCTCGCAAAAAGGTCAGGCGCAAATGTGGATACCAGCCGCCTCATCATAACCAGAGCGGAGGGCCATGAGGCTTCACTGGTCTGCAACAGTACTTCATCGTATGGGTACGATGTCGTCTCGCTCCGAGAGAAAGCCTACTGCGATATGACTGTCAAGCGACTATACAGCCTTTGCGACAGCATATATAAAACAAACTGTTTTGATGTGGAGAGGAAGGTTATTGTTGGCCACGGTGGAATCAATGCTCGGGGAGAGGTCTCTGCCATTGGTGTCCCAGTCAAGCGCTATGAGTCGGCAGACCATTGGGAAGAGTGAATAATTTAGTTTCAGAAGCGTCTTACAAACGGTTTCTTAGAGCTACATTCAAAGGATTGTCAAGGTCCTTCCTTGGAGCACGCCGGGGGCTCTCCAGATGTCTTATTACAGGCCTGTGCCTCTCCAAGGACTGACAGTTTGGTTGTGCCTTCTACTGGAAAGCAACTCTAGATTCTGCTTCAACTGTATCTATAGTAATCTCAAAGATAAATATTGAAGACATTGTCAATCTGGGTACAGACATTTGACAGTGAATCTACTAGTTACAATTGCTTCTGATCTTGTCGATGTACGCCCACTGCCATTTTATATCTCAGTTTTTATGTATCTGTGCTGTTGAAAAGAAGCTAGTGCGGTAAGCTCTAACCGGTTCTATTATCAAAAAAATATTGGAAAGGCAAAGATCAACATAGCTACTGCACGATGAATGTGTCATTGTGGGAAGCATTATGTTGAGACTAAGCAAATACTGTACTTACGAAAGGAAAGTAAAGAGCTTTATGCGAACCAACTGAGGACTTCTTCCCTAATCATTGACTAAGGATACATGCTCAAGGCACTCTTCTTATGCACTACTTTTAATTCAAAAACTAATCCTGGTAGTTCTGTGACTACCTGTACTTCAGATTTTGCTTGCTTCTGACTTTATGCTTAGCTGGTGTTATGGCCGCACGTGGACCCCATCTCCCCATCTGTATCTTAAACCGATAAATCGTCCATTGATTCATCATGAGAGTTGTCTTCTCCATTTAGTGACCTTCACTCTCTGACCCATCTTCATGGCCATAAATCAATTGCGGCAGGTCCCCGCCTCGGTTTCGGCTTGCGGCAACGCAGAAGTCATAGGTCCTGGTAGAGCTTCTTAAGAAATTGAAATCAGGGTCATCATCAAAGATGTCCAAGTCATAAAGACTGATGGGTTTCTGCGGGTACCCCAAGCTATCCTCGCTTGTGTAGCTGACAATGCAATTTCTGTTTGCCATGCCGACGGCTTGGGAAGGGTAAGTCTTCACCACTTTCGCGAAGTTGAGCCTGGAAACTCAGGTGTGCCAGGACTGCAGAGCAGGACTGCACTGAGCAGTACAGTTCTTGTGATCAAGAAAATCACAAAGGGGAACCGGCTGAGAAACTCTGCCATGTCATCATCAAGGTCGGTGACAGGCTAGCCTCTTTGCTTGTACTTCTTGTAGCATTTCCCAAAGCCGGTCATGATAATCTTGTCCTCTGAGCCTTGCCTCAAATTGATGACAACTCCCTAAATTCCTAGTCAAGCAATAGATCGGTTGATGGCTCCCATGGCGAAAACTCCAGGGTTCGGAGAAATCTGGAAGCGTCCTGAGCAAGAACATGTCAGATCAGCAGCATGATCGCACTTAATAACCACCAATGGGTACCAGGCACCTCTTCAGATAGCAAAAAGCGAATGTGAACCCGAGGTCTTCGAAGGGTCATGCCTTCTGTCATGTTGATTCTGCGTGTTTATTGTTTGAGACTTTGTGTCTAGTAAGTAGGGAATTGTGTTCTGATTTCAGTTCTGATGTTGATGAGTATAGGAGGTGCTGCTTTTGATGCTTTGATTGTCAGAAAGAGAAGTGCCTCCAATGTGAAATCATTATGGCTTGTATATCCATCGAGATAGGTGAAGTGAATCAGAGACTAAAGACATCAGTACTCCATTGATGTCGATGCTTGTCATGAATCACAGAGAAACATCGTAGAATCATATACAATCACAGGGTACAGAGATATTAATTTATTTAGCAACCTTGATGAGTTCTTCAAAAGAATTAAAAAAAATAAAATAAACATACGCTATTCATAGATCTACCCTTTCCCCTTTACATGTTTACTGCCTATATATTTGATCTATAAGGCTGAACTTAAGAAAGGGGTTCTCCCTTAGACTCCTTGAAGAGCATAAATATCTGATTCGCCAGCTTCTGAGTCTAAAGCCCAACTAAGCCTACTTCAAGGTAAAATTTTAACCCTAATTGCTTGCCAAACCGAGCTTAGAGACCAATAACTAGGTTCAGCTCATCAACTAATGTGGGAGCAGCAAGGTGAGGCAATATCCGTTGATATTGGCGATAACTGTGATGTGAAGCTAACTAGGAGTGGGCTGCCCGCAGTGGGCAGAGGCTGGCCGAGAAGGAGGTGGAGGTGGGTCATATGACCCATGGGCTCCTCCACCAACACTCCCCCTCAGGCTCTGCTAGCCTACTCCTGTATATTATAATAATAGTAGTAAATAACTACCTAACCTTAAATCCTCTAAATCTAAGGAGTTTTTAAAGTATATAATAACTTTAGTAAAAGGCTAGTAATTTACCTATTAGTCTAGTAATAATTTATTTATATACTAATAAGCCTATATAAACTATAAACTATATAATTTATTATTTATATAATTTATTTATATATATATATAACTTATTAATTTAACTTATTTACTATACCTAGTAGTCTAATAAAATCCTTATGTTTATTTAAGGCTAATGCCTTTATAAGGCTATTAGTAGCTATCTTAGTACTATAAATAAGTTAAAAAGTAATATTCTTATAGGTATAAACCTCTTAGATTATTTATTTATATTAGATATTAATACTTTAAGTTTATACTTTATTAAAAGGATTTATAATATTAACTATTATATTAGTACTATTAGTAAAAAGGATAATTAAAGTATTTAGTAGTTAGCTAAGAAGCTATTTAGTATAGTAATAAATCTACTTTATAGTAATTACTACTAGCATAAAGTTAATAAACTTTACCTTAGTAAAGCTTAAAGTAATAAAGGTCTATTACTTAGACTTCTAAGCTACTAGTAAGCTAGTAAAGTAAATAATATAACTACTTATAGATATCTATAATAGGTAATTATTAGTAAAAGAAGTATTTACTATAGTATAAAGGCTAACGTTAGTAAAAGGGTTAAGTTTACTAAATAAGATACTATAATAAGTAGTACTTTTAAGGTAGTAAAAAAGGTACTTAATAGCTACCTAATAGGTAGGTAATAGGCTAGTATTAGCCTAAGAGAGCTTACTAACTATAAAAGTAATATCTAGGCGTATACTAGTAGCTAACTAGTTAAGGTAGCTAGTTTATTTAATATAGAGTTATTAGTTAGCTTTAGTATAGTTATCTTTATTCTAAGTAACAAGAAGGTTCTAGTTAGTAGGTAATAAGGTCTTAACTAGCTAAAGGTTAGTATAACTAAAATAATAAAGTATACCTTTAGTATACTTATATTAATTAATATAAATCTTATTAGTAGTAAAACACTAAATCTAAAAGCTAAGAAACTAAGAGGCCTTACTAAGGTCCTTTAGTAGGTAGACCTTAGTAAGTATATTATATACTTTCTTAGTTATCTTAGTAGTAAGTATAGCTACTATATTATTATTAATATATATTAAGGCATAGGTATTAAGGTCCTTATTATAGAAAAGGTAGATTTCCTCTTTAACTAGCTAAAAGCTAATTTTCTTTATTTTACCTTTAATAAGTATAAACTACTACAGTAGTAACTTATATAGACTATAGAGGGCCTTTTAAAGTAACTAGACTTTATTATTAGTAGTAGTATAACTAGTAGGTTATTTAATATAGACGTTAGTACTAGTAAGAATAGGGGTAGTAAGAAAAGTAGTATTAAAGTTATATATTTTATACTTTAATTTATAAAAAGTAATAATAATAAAAAAAAGGTAAATAGTAGTAGTAGTAGCTATAGCTATATATACTTTTTATAATAACTAATTACCTTACTTAAAGTTACTATAGACTACCTATTAAGCCTTAAAGTATATAATTTTATTATTTACGTTAGTTTTAATATTAAATACTTATTTACCTAGTAGTACTTTAGCTCTAGTTAAAGGGTTAATAAGGGTATATACCTCCTTATTATTAAACTATTAGATCTTAGTATTATAGGCTTATTTCTAATAGTGCTAGTGTAGGCCTTCTTTTGCCTTCTTAAAGGTAGTAGGTATATTATAACTAGTAGGTAGTACCTTTAATAATATAGCTACTATAAGAGTACTAATAAAGTAACCTTAACTATCTTAGTGTACCTAAATATTAGCTAAGAGATATACCTTTTTTTTATAGTTTTAGATACCTACTATCTTATAATAGTAGCTAGGTAGCTTTACTACACTAGTGTAACATAGGTAACTAGTAGTAATATACTTAGTAGTAGATATAGTAGTAAAGGCCTTAATAATAAGGTCTAGCTTATCTTCCTTTATAACTAGAGAAAGGTAGTTAGCCTTCTATTAGATAACCTTATAAAACTTATTATTAGTAAAAGTATTATTTTATTTATCTAGTTATTTATTTATAAAGTATTTATTAGTAAGTAATAAGGTAAATATAGTAGTGTCCTCTAGAGGTAAAGTTATATAGGTAGTATTATTAATATACTTACTATTAATAGTACTACTATTAGTTTAGTTAGCCTACTAGTTTTATAAGGTCTTAGTAACTAGTAAGTAAAAATTAAGGACTTAGCTAGAAAACTAAATCTAGAGATTAGGCTTATTAAAGAGTATATTATAGTTAGTATTTACTAGGATATTTATATTAGTAATAAGGTAAAGAATAGTCTTTTTTTCTCTTTATAAAAATAAATATTATAGTAATAGATAACTTACTTTTAATTAAGGATATAGATATAGTAAATATAACTATATAAAGAGCTATAACTAATAAGGTAACCTTTTATTATATAAGGCTTTATTTTTATAAAATAAAAAGAGCACTTACTACCTTTTTATATATATATATAATATAACTAAAGGTATAAAGGTATTTAATTTAAGGAGGTTCTTAGTTAGTAGTAAGGTTAAGCTTATAGGTAATAATCTTATAAAGGCTTATTTTACCCTTAGTTAACTATAGTAGGAGGTTAAGGATTTACACTATAGTATTAAGCGTATAGTCCTAGAGATCCTTTAGTAGGCTATTATTAATAAGTAAAGTGTAAGTAGCCTTTATAAAGGTATAGCTAGTATATTTAATTATACTATTTATTAATAAAGTATAAGCAGTAGTTAAGTAAAGTTAAGTGCCTTTAAAGAAAGAATTATAAAGCACTTTCTTAAGCTTAAGTATATTATTATATATTTAACTTTTAATTAAGAGACCTATTATATTAGTAAATATAGTACTAAACTTCTTAATAGTATTAAGAATAACCTTATAGTAATAGGCTTTTAATAAAGTAAGCTAGTAATAACTACTATAATAGTTAAGAAAGTAAAAGGTATATTATATACTAAGTTTAGAAAAAGGTTTAACCTTAATAAGGTCTAGATAGATTTCTTTACTTATAAAAGTAAAAAGTAATAAAGTATTATAGCTAATAAGCTTTATAGATTTAGCTAAGTAGTAGGCCTTATAGTAAAAGTTATTAATCTTTACCTATATAAATTATATACTTACTTAATAGTAGGCCTTAATAACCTATAATAAATAAGTATAAATAAGTTAGTAATATATTATCTTAAAGGTTAGTTAGCACTTATCTTTAACTATAGTTAACCTAAAGGTAGTTACTATAAGTATAGTTAGGCTATTAGTTATATAAAGAATATAAATATTAAAGATTTATTTAACAGTAGCTAAATAGGCCTTAGATTTAATATTAATAATATAAGTAGTAGTATAGTTATATTTAATACCTACCTTATATAACTTACCTAGGCTAAAGAGGTTAGCTAGGCTAAGAGGACTATACTTAATATCTTTAATAGTCTAGTTAATAGTCTAAGTTAAGTTAGCTAGATCCTTTGTCTAAAAGAAAATAGTACTACTGCCCTCTAGATACACCTAATTACTATTTACTATAGTAAAAAGTTAAAGGTTACTATAGACTATATAAAATATAAAGTAGGTTAATAAGTTAAATATAAGGTTAAAGTAGCCTAAATTTAGTATAATATTAAAGGTAGTAATAACCTTATTATTAATAGCTATATATACTATATAGCTAGGCTTTATAGCTAGGCTAATAATAAAGAAGCTACTAAGAGTACCTAAGGCTTCTTTAATAAAAATAAAGGTTAATAATAAGTTAAATAATCTTTTTTTATAATCTTTATTATAAATATACTTAGTTATATAGGTAAAAAAAGTATTATAATAAAAGTAATTAGTAAAAACTAGCTCTAAGTAAGTAGTCTAATACTTTATAGTAAAGTAGTTTTTCTTATAATAAAAGTAAAAACTACTATAGATAATATTCTTAGTAAAAGTAGTACCTTAGTTAGTACTAGAAGAGGTTACTATTAAATTAGTAGTATTCTTATAGTATATAATAAGTCCTATTTTTTATTCTTTATCCTAGGTAAAAGTATAAATAGTCTTAATAACCTTTACCTAGGTAAGTATCTTATTATTATTAGTGTAGTACTTATAAGTATCTAGTAGTTATACCTTAAAGTAGTTAAGTATA